ATTGTCACAGTTCATAAAACCAAATATTTATTCAGAGCAAGTAGACGTAATTATAGCAGTGGTTTTTTTTTTTTTTTTCTATACACTTGTACATTGCCTTTGTATATAGCTCACTCTACTACAATGATGCGTCTTTGAGATAGAAGTGCCTTTTTGAATGGGTGGATTTCTGCTTCACAAAAAGTTCGAGTTGATTCATCGTGAAGCTCAAGTCAAAGCAAGCAGCTGAGTATTTTTCTTATGGTACAAAATAGGCTCCAGAGTGAACATAGCGCGTATTCTTTTGTGGAATTTATTCTCAAATGTATTTCAAACCATTTTGATAATCCAGAGACATTTATTTTGTGTCAATACCCGAGGGCAGATTGTGTAACTTTCTATATTTTGTACTGACACGTTTTACAGTTTGTGCTTCCTCGTTTTGTGCCGACACGATTTTTAGAAATGCATGTTATAGAATGAAGTGGCTTCCTCCGTTGGTGCCAGTACAACTTTGCAGATGTGACGACTGCTGACGCGTCACTTTTTGGATCCTTGCTTTTTCTGCATTTGTGACTCAACTTTCCGAGTATGAATCGGCGCAGTCATCTACAGCGCAGCGCATCGACCTTTACTTCACTGTTTCATCTTCTCGTGTAAATGTTGTGCTGTAGGTTAAACAAAGAAATGCCTGTACAATAAGCTTCATAAAATATATTTGTATATGGAAAAGGCCTTTAACATGCATCTATTTATTTTCTCTATGTTGCATATCTTGTAAAGGTGTGGTCTGGGAAAGGGGGGGCCGAAGCTCAGAAATGTCGATGGTCTTTATATCTGCGATGGACATTTGTCACTACTGACTAAAAGTGTGGTGAACTGTTTAAAGGTCTCCCTCCTCTGAGCTCGGACCCTCCTTCCAAAGCATTCAAAGAAATGAATAAAAGTATGCAAGAACAAAATCTATCAAGACTTTTATTGTATTTAATTTTTGTCAACCTTTGGTTATGAAATGCTGTATCCCATTTTAAAACAAAGAAAAATACTTAAAGTTCATGTATTTTCTCCCTCTGTACCTCCTGAAAATAACACAAAATCTGTTTGAGGTACAAGTACCAAAATTCAAAGGTATATCTGTATGTACAGGGATGTTTGTGTGCTCCCTTTTTATTAGATTATGTACTTTTTGTTCATATACAGTGTATATATATTTTTTCAGGATCGCGTCAGACAAAGGCAGGTATAGATACAGTGTAGCACATTATGTGTGCTGATTAGCAATCCAGTTAAGTTCAATCACTTTGTCTTCAACCACTTTAAAGTGTTAAAGTCAGCTATTTAGCTGCCTCCCCACATATCTGTTATTACACTATAACATTTGATTAAGAACTTTCGAACATATTCATAAAATTCAAAAGCTTTGCCTGATTTATATTTGGCCAATCGCATAAGGTCATCTTCCCAGTCATCTTCCAGCGTGGCTGCTATTTTTAGATCCCTCCCCGGATGTCCAGTTCTGACAAATTTCACTGTCCGTGCTGCGATTTCTCACCAACCTCAGACTTCTGCTTCCAGCTGACCCAGATTTTGTATCTCGCACTGTCACGGCTGATGAGAGCTGGGTCTGCAGGTACAGCTTAGCAGGTTTTTAGCTGTCCAATTTGAGTGCAAAGTACACTCGACAGATTTGCTTTTCTAAAAGGTTGAAGCACACCCACTGAAGGGTTGAGGAATCACCATTTTGACGCAGTGGAATAAATCCAGCACATACCAGAGGTACAATTACATAATGGGACTTCCTCTGAGAGAATAGCAGCCACGCTGAAAATGGTCCAAAGTTGCACAACAAGGTGAGAATGGATCAAACTTTTATTGATCCGTTCTCATAACTTTATGATCACACCCCGTGGGCTTGCTGGCCTAAACTGTACTAAGGTAAACATGTAGCAACGTGTGAGAGCTTGTAGATGTAACACAAGAGTGTGAAACATTTTTAAAAGTGAAACCAAAACTTAAAATGTTTTCTACATTTTATCTTACAGGCCCGTGAATTTTGCATCATATTTACCTTCATAAAACTGCACTTTCACTCATGATACATTTCCATTTTTTGTTATGAGAATCTTCTGATTACAATGCAAGACATGAGTCATTTAAATAAACCAACAACTTCCACTCTCACGCACAGACCACTAGCTTCATTTGTCAGAGAGAGCTCCGCTGACTGCCATTAACCAAAATGCCTCTGCTTTTACCATCAGATCTGCCTCTGCAGTAATGACAGTAGAATTTGTGAATTCAACGTCTAAATCCACCTCCGGTTTTCCATTGCAGCAACAAGTGGGCCACTGTAGGATGGCCCACATCTCTGAGTGTGATCCAACCACAGGTAAGACCTCTTTAGGGCTGTTGAAAGGAAAAGGAAATATCTGCTGTGGACTAGAACCTCCAGATCAGCCCAAAGGAAATTGGAGTTAATGCCACTTTACTAATAAAATGAAAAAGTTCAAATGTTAAACCGATCTGTTTGAAGGGATTGTGTAAATGCAGTTAAAAAACTCTGTCCTGAAACAGCACTGCTCCTCCAAACTCACACATACATTCACCAATCAGAGGACACATTTACAATATACATGATATTTACAAATTCACTCACCCGTTTTTTTTTTAAGGTTTATATAAAGGAGCAAGTAGGTTAGATTGTATAAACTGTGTATTTCGGATGCTTGTGCTTTATATTATTGAGTATATACACAGAGACGTGGTACCTCAAATGTTTAAAATGGAAAACACACCAATTTAAACCCCAGGTTCCTCAGAATCACCTCACAGTAAACCCTAAACATATTCTGCTCACTTCGGCCTCTGCTGTTCCTCCTCACATCATCAACGGCTCAAACGTGTCTCCGGCTCAGGAAGCCCACCGCGAGACGCTCACACTTTATGATTCAAGTGGAGAGAAGGTGTTCCTGTCTTTGTTTGTCATCTGTGACAAAAGTGAAGAGGCTGTGAGGATAACACAGTTGGCACAAGGAGCTACAGATGCTTCATGGATGTTTCTGTTGGGGTTCATATCCAGCGTGTGTTGGTTTTCAATGCAGTGTCATCTCCTCAAATTCCCTTTAGCTGTTAGAAATAAAGGCCGCATCGATGTTTCTGAAGTAAAAGAGCAATTAGGGAATTGAAAATAAGAATAGTATGACGTATGGCAAAGAATGCTGAGCTGAATAAACTCTTGGTCCCTCCAAAGCAATCGGTTATGAAGCTCGATGACACCATCCGAGTGTTTCTGGACCATCCATAAAATGTACTGTGCCTGAGGGCAAACTTAAAAAAGCTTGAGCTGTACCCAATAACTTCAGGAAATCAAAAACTACAAACACGGCAGTGAATCATTTCTGTAATTTCTGCATGTCTGTAGTTACTCTAATGTGATGTTAGCACAATAAATTTTGTTTTTACTGTTTTTTGTGGGTATTACCAACTGGAAAGCTACCCTGAAATGCCCACATTGCCACTGGGAGATGTTTTTAAGAAAACAGTGCACGTTCAGGATTGGTTAAAGTGCACGTTCTCTTTCACCAGCTCTAAAATAACTCACAGGGTTACTGTGCTTTACAAAGGGGCTCAAACTTCCACAAGGGGACAGTTACATGGAGGAGTTTATTCCCAGTCACAGTGCTGGCTGTTATCACTTCCCATGTGTTTATATCGCCCTATTGCATGGGATCAACTCTCCTGTAGTTTTGGTTAGTTTCCTGCCCCTCCCTGAGGCTGGTTCTGCTTCTCTACCTCATGTGATCTTTGAGGTTCTCTCCGTAATACTGTAGGGTCTTTAGCTTATAATGTAATGAGTCTTGAGATGACAACTGTTGTGAACTGGGCCTATATAAATAAAAATAAACATTTTAATTGAATATGGGGTGGAGGTGTTTATCCAGCACACCACCCTGGTGCAGCACATATCAGCAGCAGATTATAGAGAAGCTCATTAATGTTTATAATAGCGTTATTATGGACTCCTAGTGTATCCCAATACCCGGTTCCAGGCTGACGGCTTCATAACGAGCTGTTTAACTCTGCAGTGAGCCGATGAAGCAGTTTGTGTGGCATTTTTGTTACCGAGTGTCTGCGGCTGCACGAGGTGTTGAACTGATAATATGGCTTGTGACTCCCAGTTGCTGATGAGTGTACGTCATATAGAAGGTATAGAAAGAATTTTATCCTACTGTGATGCTAACCTTACTTATTCTAACTATGAGAACCTGTTATATTCCACAGTAATACCACAAATTGAGCTAGTTGATTCTGTGCAGCCACAGTAGCCCTGAGTGTCCTCTTAGCCCACTAACATTAGCCAGCTAAGGAGTGTTAACTTACCTGACTTAATGTGATTCAACACAAATATTAGAAATCTTTCTTTTTTGTTGCATAACGGGGCTACATCTGAAGTTTTGTCTGGGTTAACGATTAATACATTAATCCTGTATGTCAAGCTAGGCAGCTTCATGCTAATTAATGTGACACTGAGCACCATTAACCAGAACCTTCTGTTTTGTTGGCATTAATAAAATCCTTTCTGGTAATGTTCTTAATCTGCTTCTGGTAAATGTCTTGGTGGTGGCCCGACTGCTCTGAGGTAAAAGCTTTTGCATTTCACATCCAGTTTTGTTCGAATGTTGAACGCTGACACGGCTGTTGGAGCAGCTTAAAACTGTTCTGAATCGCTTCGATTTTTCTCGACATCTTTGTCAAATATAGTGTGAAACAGAGAGTAAAAGAAAAGTCAAGCAGTAAACCTTTACACCTTTGAAGGCTTCCATTCAAATGTGCACATGTTGTATGAAGATGCAGGAGCAATACGGGTTTACCTTTTGGTAATATCCCATTTTCAATTATCTGTCAATCTGTGACAATCATAAAGCTGCTAAACCATGGCTGAGGTGATGTAAAGTCACCTGTAAGTCCACTTTTGCTGTTAGATTTTAGTTGTTAATGTGTGCAGTGGAAGGAAAATGTTGGAAAGATGGAGGAGAAGCCCTCAGAAGTCCATGTCCCAACCAGACAGCTCATCAGGAGGACTGTCATCATCTGGAGGGTAGCTGTCGAAGTAACTGTGATCTGTTGGTCCTGTAAGCTATGGAGCAAAGGAAGGAAGAGGAGAGAGAGATGGTTAGCAAAGCATTGAGTTGGTCTGAAATCAAATAGTAACAACTGATGGGGCAACAAAATTCAACATGGCATTTTTAAGGTTAATACAAATTCCCTTTGGGGTTGTGTCAGGAAGGGCAGCTGGAATAAAACTTAAATCAAATGTGGAGCTACTTGCTGTGGTGACCCCTCGTGATAAATCACTACACATGAGCGGGGGACACTGGTTTCCTTTTCCAATGTGGAACAGTATAAAGTGTGCAGGAGGCAGAAAGCATGATGGCCATGTCTTGCTGAGAATTCACCTGACAGTTACCTCCTTTATCCTTATTAAGCCCATTTTTCCACAACAGGAGCTATAAGACATTGGGTGTGCGTTCATAACACACACGTAAGGGTAAGAAGGAAGAAATGCCTGCTGTGGGACAGGTATTTCTGTGCTGGAAGAAAGCTCCTCGGGCTCTACACTGACTGGCTAAAGTCAGATAAGCAACTACAGTAAGATTTTTGGGGAAATCAAGCAATCAGCACTTGCTAGATTAAGAAAAGCAGAACAAATGGAAACTGGATGAAAAATAAATCTGAACTCCATCAAAGTTCCTGAGAGATTTTACAGAGACAGGAGGAGGCTGGAAGAAAGAGCTAGAAGTGAACTAAAGATTGGCAGCGGTGCTGGTGTAAATGAAGTGGTGAATCTGACAAATTGCTCTGGGAGCTGCCTCATCCTGTCTGCTGTAGCTGCTTTTATCTTTTGTCCCGGCCTTCACACTGAAGTGCAGCTCAGACAACAAAAGGAGAGACGGAGACAGCCGAAGTGACGTCGGGACGCTTGACTTTTAAAAAGTCCCGCGATCATTGTTTCAGCCGGCTAATATGCCTACAGGTCTCCTGCACACTTTAAACAGCAAACAGATATTTTGTTCTGAAAGTTTAATCACGCTTCAGTCATGACGTGGAACTACAAGTTACAAGTTTGATCACAGCTTACTTCTCTTTTCAGTGGCGATGGTAACGTCCTTGCCTTCAGCCCCTCCCAGTTGAAGCCATTAAACCACCTTCAGATACATTAGAGAAAACACACATCTGTAAGTGTATTTATCTTCTCACATTTACATATATGAGTTTGACTCTGTCAGAACAAACGCAAAGTAGGAAACGTCCCAATTTAAAGTTTGAACAGTGATTCGAGTGGTTGTTAAATGTCACTTGTTCTGGATCAAGAACTCTTTCTGTACATTTTACTTGGACTTTGACTTCTATTCCTGGCTCAGTATGGAAAATGAGAACTAGGTCAGCATCACGTTTAAGAACAACATATCAATCCCTGCATTATGAGTATATATTGTTTCCTGTAATGCGGTAGCCTCATGCTGTCTTTGTAAAGGAAAAAGGCAAGTGGCAAGTTCAATCATTTGATAAGCCTTGACGATGTTTGCATCCGACTGCTCTTGCACACTGTTCAGTGATTATCTAATTGTAAAGGCTATGAACCACGAGCCTTCATCCATAATGTTCAATCAGTGCTAATTTGTGGAACTAATCTTCCCGCTGAGATCCACAACAAATGAGTCAGTTCCTACTTACCTGTGCTTCTTAATATCAGTTATTCCATTTTTGAGATTACCCAGTCGCTCTGAGGGGTTCCGCCTATAAAACAGATCAAAGTCAGGAAATTAACTCTTCACCAAATTACTGTGCTAGTTCCAAGATGGTTGGGTTATGTTTTCCTGCTCTGTTGTTCAGAGCTTGAAGAAAACTGTTTAATGTACCTGGGTGTCAGGTATACTGAGCACATCAGCCATCATCAGACTCTGTCCTGAAAATCTGAATCGAGAATTTTGTGTCTACTTAAGCTTCAGGTATGTCGGCCTGCGCATGTGAGTGTGTACCTGCATAGCTTGCGTATGAGGTCCTCCGGTCTCTTTGTTATCTTCTTCGGGAAGTCCATCTTCTCAATGCCTCTCAAGATGAAAGTGTACGTCATCATCTGGTCAATTCCTGAGAACGGAGGACTGTGGAGTGAAGAAAAAATCGGCAGATATTCAGCAAGCTTTTAGCAGTACTTTGTGTAAAAATGACTGCAGGTCAGTGGGCAGAGTGAAGTGGATGAGTGAAAGGATGATCTTGCTGCAGATTGGAATCACAGAAGAACGCGTGCTCTAACCTGCCGGTAAGAAGCTCAAACACCAGGATGCCCAAAGACCAAAAATCCACACTGAAGTTGTGGCCTTTGTTGAGGATGATCTCTGGTGCCACATACTCTGGAGTGCCACAGAAGGTCCAAGTCTTCTGGCCACATCTGATCTTCTTGGCAAAGCCAAAGTCGACCTGGAAAAGGAGAGTTTAGTCTTTAAAGAGATGTTTACTGTCAGCCTGTCAGCATACAAGTATACAGTAATGTTGAAACTTTTAAAAGTCCTCTGGGGAGCCTTTAAGGCTTTTCCATAAAAATACCTGCCTACATTAAAAGCCTTACTCTTTAAGAAACCACTGTGCTGCTTATGTCTGCTTAGATGCCATAAAACATCCTGACGTCTAAGCAGTTTTATCAGACACATGAAAAAGAAACCAATCAACAAAAAATGTGTTATGTGACATGAATTTCTCCCTAATTCATTGTTTTCTTATCCATCCTACTTACTGTATCCATAACTAGCTTGTCATAGCATTTGTTCACTGCCCTGCTGGGTCAGCAGACGTGATGTTCATGTGTAATGAAGCTATAATGTTGTGACGCTGTCAAAGTTTGATTTGCTTTCAGTAAATGTGCCAGTAACCACTAAAACTGTAGTTACAGTGCTCCCCCTTTCTTTTAGTAGCCCTTTTAATTGCTTACTACCAAACTATTTAAACTATACTTCATACTGCATGCACTGGTGCACGTTATTAAGACAGTGGCCAGAAGTCGAACCCAGGACCTTCTTGCTAACCCTTGTGCTACCATGCTCCCATTCTTATATTAGTGAATAATTCACCATATGTCACCAATACATGACATACTCGGCAGAACACTAAACTTGTGACTCAAGCCACAAACCCTAAAAGCACCTGTGAGTCACAGATCAGGGCACGGTAGAGCTCACCGCACCCGCAGAGCAGAGGAATTAGCTGCATCAATTTGCACAGCATTTAAATGGATGACGCAGAACGTGGGTGGAGAAAAAAACAAAGCAAAACGCTCACAGACCTGCCAAATGTCAGGCGCACACACAGGTGTGACCAAAGGAAATGTTTAGTTGTGCCTGACAGACTTTTTTGGTCGCAATTAACTCATTCACTGCAATTGACGTCTATAGCCGTCAATTGCAGTGAATGAGTCAATGGGTTTAACTCATTCACTGCCAATGGCTGGCAGTGAATGAGTTAAGACCAAAACGGTTGCATCCTGGAGTCTGGAAACACACATTTTGATTAAGCCTGATGACTCCAAACTATAAGAAATGCACTGGTCATCAAAGCGGGAGGAACATGCTGACAAGTGTTGTTCTTTCATGGTTCTGAGACAAAATGCGTTTACTTTCTGGAACTAATCTCACCAGTTTGATGTATCCTTCAGAATCCAGAATGAGGTTCTCAGGCTTCAGGTCTCTGTAGAGGACACCTTTCCGGTGGAGGTACTCGAAAGCCTCCGTGACACAGCCCATGCAGAATTTAGCAGCAGATTCATCAAAGCTGCCCCTGAAGACCAAAACCCAAACATCCTATTAAAACCTTTTGCAGCTTTTGTGACAGTGGCTCCAGACAATGGTTGGCATCTCCTACCTGTCCCTGAGCAGACTCCAGACCTCTCCACCCAGACAGGCCTCCAGCAGCATGTACACATATTTGTTATCCTTGAATGTGCGATACAGTCTGGAGAAAATGAAACACAAACAAGTTTAGCTTTAAATACAACAAATGCCATTTTATCATCATTTGAGATCAGCATTAGTCTTTTTATTCCTTTGATTTATTTATGTGGTTGACGCAGTTTCATAAAGAACCCGACAATATTTGAGACTGAAGACAACCAGACGTGCAGCTGGTGAAAGAACCATCAGGGGCAGACAACTGCTAAGACTCTCAGGTCTAAAAGATTTGCACATATTTAACCAAATCACTTTCTGAGTTATAATTCGATACCATCTGGAAAATCTAGTATTTATTCTATTTTGACTCCACTGATATTTTGGTTTTTAAACATGTCATATTTGCTCAATCAGCCATGAAAGTTGAATGAAAATGGCAACAATTTTATATTAAAGTATTCTTTATGCTATATTTACAACAGTATTGTTAAATTCAACTATCACATTCAAAATAATCAGTAGTTGTCATTTACAATGTGAATTTTCTTTTGTTTGTTTTAGTGTGTGGTCAACAGTGCTCTTCTCCAAGAAAGTAACAAAAAAAAAGTAATCCCTTTACTGATTACTTATTTTCAAAAGTAATTAGTTACTTTATTACTTAGTTACTTTTTGAAAACATGATACACAACCCGGATAAGTAATGAAGCAATAGACCTTTCAGCCAAATTCTGTTTTTCTGCATAATCCATCATGTAAAATTGAATCAAATGAAAAAGTCTCTTTTGAAAACTTGTTTTATTAGTTTTAACTTTATGCAAAAATAAGTTTTCTTCCCACACAGAGTGAACAGCGGACGCTAATGTTTTTGTCACTTTTTACGGAATCAAAGTAATGTCAGTACTTCCAAGCTTTAAACTCTGCATGGTCGCACGCGCTTAACGTCATTGTCACGAGACACTCTCACAAACAAAATCACGATTTAGTAACGCAGTAATGCAGCGTGCTTACGGGAAAGTAACGGTAATCTAATTTTTTTTGCAATACTAATCCCTTACTTTACTCATTACTTGAAAAAAGTATTAAAGTATTACAGTAACGCATCTCTGGTACTCAAATGTTGGACTTTGCAGGAGTGCTGGACTTTTCTTGATACTGCCTTGATTTCAACGTGGGGAAAATCAGGTGGGTCAACGGCTCGTTTTTCAAAGAATTATATCTTGAAAACTGTTTGATAAATGATGCTAAAACTGCACAAAAATCATTGTATATGTTTAGATTGTAACATAAAATTGACGGTCTAGCAGAGGGCTGCTAGATTACCCATGAAAAGCAACAAAAATACAAAATATATGATAAACAGGAAGCAGGGCACCTAAATTATTAAATTTTGCCCGAGCTGTAATTATCACATAAATGAATTAATTCTAGCTTAATATATGAAGTAATGTTTTCAGATTTTAGTGTAAATAGGAGCCTAGATCGACATCCGTGATTCAACATTAAGCTTAAAGGCTCTTAAAACTGCAGCGTGGGTGTCAACCACTCCACCACAATGCCACCGTACGTAGCCTTAAGTCTTACATCACCCGACGTCGGTCTTGAAAACAGATTAGGAATAAAATAGGTACACAGAGTGTATGAAGAGGAGGTTAGCTGGATGAGCGTTACAGAAGGTGAAGAATGGCTTTAATATCAGAGTCTGTTCCACTGCATACGGTGAAATCGGATCATCGTAATCTCACAAAAGACAAAGAAAAGCTCCTGTTGCAATATTTCATAAGAAATAACCACATTTTCTTAGCAGACATCTCAATATCCCCTGCTATTCTACCCCACTGAGAAGATGTAATCTGCTCAGGTCCCCGACGGTGATCTCATCAAAAACTAATAAGCGCAGCATTGTGTTCCCAGACTAATGGAGCAGAGATTCATCATGTAGGATAAAAAATGGAAATGAGTTCCAAGGCTGGGCAAGAGGACGCACTTGACTATGAAAGGCGAGCGAGCCTCCGCGAGGATCCTCCTCTCTGAGTGGATGTGTTCTTCCTGCCTGTTGTCCACCACGTGCTTCTTTTTGATGATCTTGAGTGCAAAGGTGACATCCTCAGTCTTCACCTTCACCTGCAGATGGACATGACAGGGTGGGTGTGACTCAGCACAGACCTCAAACAGCAGGCATGGTTCCCATGTAAACATTAAGTTTACTCCTACCCATGAAAACACCGTCCTAATGAACTTTCAGTAGAGTAAATTGATGCACTATCAAAATAATAATTTCTATATGAAGAAGGTCAGATTAGATTTTGCCAGAAAACATCTAAAAGAACCTGCACAATTCTGAAAAAAAGATTCTTTGCAAAGATGAAACCAAGATTAACATGATGGGAAGAGAAAAGGATGGAGAAGAGCATCAACCATCGAACATGGTGGAGGTTACTAGTGTTTATTGATGGTGTTACTGCTGATACAACCAGCAGGATGAAGAGTGTGCAGGACTACACTCTCTGCAAAGATTCAACCAAATGCTGCAAAACCGGTTGCGCAGCGCTCATGGATAATAACCCCAAAAAGAAATAGGATATTCTTCAGTAGGCATTCTCAATCCAACAGATTGCATTTTTTCAGTTACTGCAGATAAACTGAATGCTGGAAGATTCTCAAACTCACCAAAGGTCAGCTCTTACCAGTTCTACTCGTCCAAACCCGCCGACCCCAAGGGTAGCAATGACCTCCAGGTGATCAAAGGGCCTGGATGAAGAGAATTCGGAAACCAGTTCCTTCAGCTGGATGACGTCAGGAGACAGAGGCTGACTTTGGTGGCGTGACACAGACCTCCTGGATGGAAGACACAGACAAAAACAGAGTGTCTACCTTAACCTAAACATTTAGCAAGAGAAGCAGTAGATCATAACTACTGTACATCTGTGAGTGGAGTTTTCACATCTGTATCTTTCAAATCATAATTTATTACAATTTAAGTGAATATCTGAACATTTCATCTGCTGACAAGTGAGCCAACGAAAACTTTAACAGAGAAAAAACAGCTAACAGACGAGTGCCTCAGATGGCGAACACCAGCTTATGTTTTCATCAGAATTTTGAGCGAGTCTTCTCCTCGCTGTATTATCCGTAAAGTGTGTTTGAAAAGGGATGAATGTGTAAAGCTCACAGAGTCGTTGATAGAAGTGGAAAAGTTCGATGTGGATGCAGTAAGAACAGAAGGTTTTCAGTACTCGTTAAATACCCCGGATAAGAAGGATGGTGTGTCACGTTTCTACTTTAACTTGGTAAAAACAGCTAAACTGAAACAAGAGGTAAAAAAAATCTAAGCATGAAAAAAACTATAACGTGAATCTCCTTTGCAACACAAAAACTTAACAACCTGCAGACATTGTATCAACCCAGAAGCTGAGAATAATTAAACTTTGCAGTGATGTGCAGTTTGTTTTGCAATAAGTAGTCATTTCTCTGTAATGCAGCCCATTTCTTTTTCCATGCTCAGAACATTTTTGTTCACTGTCGTGAACATCGGGTGCTGCACCTACTTGGCATGTCTCTTCTTGTCGTCGCGATCGAGTGTTGCCACGTACCCTTGGAGGTACTTCTGCAGCTCATTGAAGGTGCCCACCGTCTGATCAAATGTCCTAGAAAAAAGACATCGGCACATTAGCAAACGAACCACTGGAATGTTGGCTGATTCCAAATCTGAACTCAGATCACTGATAGCGATCGAACACGGTGAGATAACGAATGAATTTTTGTGGGAAAACGTCTGGAAAAAGAAAATGTTGACACCGGCTGAAATGTATCAGAGTACAGCTTTGTTCTTCATCATAGACTGGCGTCTTTGTTCAGAGTCATTATCGGGTGAACAAAAGCATGTCTTTTACAACCTTTTAGGCATTATTTTAAATCTCAATACTCACTCTCTGTCGATGACGAGGCACTCCACCCCGTTCTCATCAGCAATGATATTGGCAGACCTGACGTCGTCACTGAAAGAGATGTGAATCACATGCACACAAAAACTAAGACAACTGTACATTTTACAACTGTTTTCATTGTGAATTTGGCATTATGAAGCTATTTCTACCTCTGCCCACATTATGCTTTTGTGTGTTTTTTCTGTGAATACAAAACTTGAAACATTTTTAAATCATTCTGATAAACAATTCACTAAAGTTTAGTGAATAAAAAGTTATTCATGGTTACAGATTTATCGGTGGAAAGTTGACAAAGAGCCTTTAAAGTATAAAGATTTAAAATATCATGTCAGACTTTTAAGGTCAGTAGATTGATCTGAGGGTGCTATAAAGCCACTTAAAACTATGTTTCTTACTGCCATTGTTTGTATTGACAACATATCGGGAATGATGTCTGGGATCTGAAATATCACGTTACTTTGGACCTCTGACCTCATCTACAAGGTCAAATAAGATCAAACTTTCATATAATACTTTTTAAAATGGTTTTCAAAACATGTTTTTAATTTCTACTATCTTTGTTTATTGCTGCAACATTTAGGAAATGATACTGGCATAAGGAGATTCTAAACATCACATAGTTTGCATCCAAATATCATGTCACATTTCTTTTTCTTTCTTTTTTATGTGTTATGGCTTTAAAGACAAAAGAATGAGCTGCCTAATTAGTTCTTACATATAAAAGAAAACAAAAACAAAACCCTTCCCTTAAAAACACAGAGAGAGTGAGCTGGTCCTTGTTTGTTTATGATGCATCGAAGAGGGCTCCACATGATTTCCAAAGCTGTGGTTGGTTCATTTTTCAGATTTTGTCTGTATTCACTAATTAATTGTTTTGCACTATGTTATCCTAGCATTGGTCTCGGTATTGAAGCAGGTGCTGCGTTGTGTTACCTCCCAATCCTTACCTTTAATATTCATCTATATAGCACCAGTCCACAACAATCCCCTGACGCTGTTTGAATATTTCAGTCTTTTGTTGACATGACCTGACTGTTGCTGTATTTTACCTTATAAGTGCTTTTTCTCCAAAGTAGTCTCCCTTCTGCAGCGTGTTGATGATCTGTGGCAGCTTGTGGGCCTCGGTGGTCTGGGTCACTTTCACCTGCACAAGACAGTTTGCTGGATGTTCATCTCAAGAGCTGACCTTTGGTGATAATCAGGCATGATTTTTAAAGCGACGTCTACGTGGACCCGTTTTTAAAATCCTCTCTCCTCCCCTCTAGGTTTGTTAAACAGGCAGAGACTTTTAACAAACCTGTTTTCTTCAAAAAAATTAAATAGAAGACATTGACACAGTCTGCAGTACTCTCTTCATAAATCCACACAGTCAGGCCTCCATGGCCTTTAATGAAGCTTCCAGATGAGAACCTGTCTGTCTGTCAGACGATGATGTATCGCTGTTCTTTTTCTCTTGCTACTTCGGTTCAATCTAGTTTGTCCAGTTTGCAGGACAGATTAGATCTCTTTGCTAGCCTGAGAAGGCCTTGGTGTCCCTCCACTTCTGGCAGAGCTGGATGGGGAGCTGGTAGCTACGTAGCTTTAACACAACAATTTCTTCAAAATTGTTTTGGATTTCCCCTTATCTCACCTAGACGACTGTGTGACCCATGGCCTGGTTTTTCTCCTATTTTTTTTACACAGAAGTGATGTTTGGTGAAAGCAGGCCCTCAAACTGAACGAATTTATTACTTCCAGGCTGGACGACTGTAATTCATTATTATCAGGATGTCCAAAAAACTCACTGAAAAGCCTTCAGCTAATCCAAAATGCTGCAGCAAGAGTCCTGACAGGGACTAGAAAGAGAGAGCATATTTCTCCTGTTTCTTACTTGAATATTGTATATTGTATATTGCATAGCTTTTTTTTTTTGTTATACGTAAAATTGTATTGTATTTATTTAAATTTTTACTTTTTAATTATTTTATTTGCATTTTTCTAATCACTAGGGTTTGAGAGTAACGCAATTTCTATTCTGTGTATGTCCTGTACATGTGGCAGAATTGACAAATAAAGTTGACTTGACTTGACTTGACTTGACTTTTGGCTTCCCTTCATTGGCTTCCTGTTAAATCCAGAATTGAATTCAAAATCCTGCTCCTCACATACAAGGTCTTAAATAATCAGGCCCCATCTTATCTTAATGACCTTGTAGTACCATATCACCCTATTAGAGCACTTCGCTCTCGCTCTGCAGGCCTACTTGTTGTTCCTAGAATATTTAAAAGTAGAATGGGAGGCAGAGCCTTCAGTTTTCAGGCCCCTCTTCTGTGGAACCAGCTTCCAGTTTGGATTCAGGAGACAGACACTATCTCTACTTTCAAGATTAGGCTTCAAACTTTCCTTTTTGCTAAAGCATATAGTTAGGGCTGGACCAGGTGACCCTGAATCCTCCCTTAGTTATGCTGCAATAGATGTAGGCTGCCGGGGGATTCCCATGATGCATTGAGTTTTTCCTTTCCAGTCACCTTTCTCACTCACTATGTATTAACAGACCTCTCTGCATTGAATCATATCTGTTATTAACCTCTGTCTCTCTTCCACAGCATGTCTTTATCCTGTCTTCCTTCTCTCACCCCAACCGGTCGCAGCAGATGGCCCCGCCCCTCCCTGAGCCTGGTTCTGCCGGAGGTTTCTTCCTGTTAAAAGGGAGTTTTTCCTTCCCACTGTTGCCAAAGTGCTTGCTCATAGGGGGTCATATGATTGTTGGGTTTTTCTCTGTATCTATGAAGCGCCTTGAGGCGACTTTTGTTGTGATTTGGCGCTATATAAATAAAATTGAATTGAATTATAATGAATGATTACATTAACTATTAATTTAATGTTACAGTGCGTACACAAATGTGCTTTTAAGGAGTGTACTTAATTATACCAAATGGAACATGATGGGCCCAGTGTGATGTGGTGGTGTTGAAGTACTTTATGCTTTCCTGACTTGCTGTTTGAATAGAAGCATTATTTGCATATCAGACGTCTGGATGCTGGATGTTCATCTCTTCACCTCTTACAGACGCTTTTAATTTTCTCAAATTTTTTTTAAAGCACTATAAAAACATAAAATGCTAAAGAACTGAAACAACCTTCCAAATGTTTGAGGTTAGTTTAAAGTCTTCTCTAATAGTACATAATCTGAAATGTCGTAGATAAGTTACTGTCACGGTTTGCGGGGCAAGCCGTGTGGAGTTGAAATAGGACCCAAAATGCGGCAGCTCTGGTGCAGATGAGTGTTTATTTGACAACCGAAAATACAAACAGCAACGGTGTGGGTACCATGAAACAGGAAAACCTAAACTGGGTAGAACTAATAACACAAACCAGAAACGAGGATGCAGGGAGGTCCGGGGAAATACATACGGGAAGACGCAGGGAGACCGAGGGGAAACAACACAGACGAACCAGCAACTACTATGACAGAAGACACAACTTAAATACACTCAGAGAACACAGGGGGATTACATACAGGTGGGGAACACAGCTGGGAGTAATTAACATGACGAGACTAGGGAGGAAAAATGAAAACACTCACATAAGACACAGACCTTCACAATAAAACAGGAACTTACACATGAAAGGACACAAACTAAGAAACGCGGACTAGATACAGGAACACACGGGGGGAACAGGGTAAACACTAACCAGAGGAAGAACAGAACCAAAATCGCGAAGAGAAAACACAAAACGCTGGGTCAAAAGGACCCAGGATCATGACAGTTACTGATTAACATTTTGTATAATCAGGCATGATTTTTAAAGCGACGTCTATGTGGGCATAGACAGACCCGTTTTTAAAATCCTCTCTCCTCCCCTCTAGGTTTGTTAAACGGGCAGAGACTTTTAACAAACCTGTTTTGTTCAAAAAAATAAAATAGTCTGAAACTCAACATTTTTTCTGTAGAAGACATTGACACGGTCTGCAGTACTCTCTTCATAAATCCACACAGTCAGGCCTCCATGGCCTTTAATGAAGCTTCCAGATGAGAACCTGTCTGTTCTGTCCCTTCACTTCTGGCAGAGCTGGATGGGGTGGCCGGGGGGGGGGGGAAGCTGGTAGCTACGTAGCTTTAATACAACAATTTCTTCAAAATTGTTTTGGATTTCCCCTCATCTCACCTAGACGACTGTGTGACACATGGCCTGGTTTTTCTCCTATTTCTTTTACACAGAAGTGATGTTTGGTGAAAGCAGGCCCTCAAACTGAACGAATTATAATGAAGATTACATTAACTATTAATTTAATGTTACAGTGCGTACACAAATGTGCTTTTAAGGAGTAGTGTACTTAACATGGAACATGATGGGCCCAGTGTGATGTGGTGGTGTTGAAGTACTTTATGCTTTCCTGACTTGCTGTTTGAATAGAAGCATTATTTGCATATCAGACGTCTCTGATTTTCCTCTTCAAACTGTTGCCTGCTCGAGCTGCAGGCTTCCACCATTCCACGCCTGCAGCCTGAGAGTTGTCAAACCTTTCAGTAATTTGTGAAGCACTGAAAACCAGCGGCCCACCCTGGCCGAGGTCAAGCATCCCACTGGTGGCATCGTGGTGCCGAAAAAATGCCACAATTACATCACAGCCGTTATGGTCAAAGCGTGCTTTAGCTAAGTGTCCCATTTGACCCCACTGACCTTTACTTCCCTGTTTTTCCTGATGGCAGGCACTCTCAGATGTTATTTCTACCCTCGTTTGGGGGGGTTACAAAGAGGAGGGGTGGGGGGCATTTCCTGTATTAGCCCCCTTCTTCCCAAACAACATGTGTCTCTCTTTGGTTTGGTTTGGTTAGCTTAGCGCTGAAGAGCTGCAGTCTCGGATCAGCTCATAATGGCATTTTGAGAGTCCCCGTGGACAGCTCTGGTGTCGGGTTCCCGACTTATCAGACAGACTGGCGGGTGAGTCATAGCCCTACAACTCCCCAGACTCACGTACAGTTTGGTCAACATACTGGTCGACATATTGGACTGTTACTGAGGGAAGACACTTATTCTGTGTGTGTTTTATCTTGTCTTTTGGACATTTTCTCTCTTAATGATTAAACGTTAAACGCGATATGAGGCAGGTATATTACCAAGATGCTCCTCTTTCTTTTGTTGGAGATGTGCTTACTATAAAACACTGCTGTATGCAGCGTCGTTTTCATTTGTGGAAACCAGATTGAAGCAACGTCCTGCAAAGCTTTGAGAGTCGAGCGGTGCTCGAGCAGCTGTTTGGCACTCAGGCTGAGTAACAAGAGCTTTTGCTGCAAATACGGGAGCAGCATCCAGATCCGTGCAATGGAGACATCATGTAGTCTTATCTCACCAAAGCACTTGAGGATTTATTCTATTGTTGGAAGACAGGATTATGGCTGGTGTCCCTAATGAGTGCCATTGTTGCAGAAAATGTCTCAGAAATCTCTGCAGTGCAGCTCATGCGTTTTATATTTTTATAACTGACAATAGCAAAAACTATGAATGACAAGTTAGACTGACTGGCAACATAGAAAGCATTTACTATTTTTGATTAATAATTCTTAAAGTAAAAGTAGTAATGCACTGATGCTATTCATAAAAATGATCTAGTTTGGTTTTGGTGATTAGTTTATTCCAAAACTGCAACAACAGCAGCATCCTGCTCAGTCATGAAGCAAATATCCACAGAAATGACTGCTGAGGGCGAGGATGTACGGCTTGTTTCTTTTTGAGAACGACGGGTTATTATTAGCGTCAACATATCCCAGTTTACAGCTTATGAATGACAGGTTAGCCAAGCTCCAAAGCCCCCATTTGTTTGACTCTTTGACTCTATTTGTAATCATAATTTGCAAAAGGAGGATCAGGCTGTAATAAATAAGACTTACAACTAGTAACTGAGACCACGAACTCAACAAGAAAATGTTTACGAAGGTCGTGAATCAAGTGAGAAGTTGGATCGTTTTCTCAAATACTTCTAATAATAATGATAATAATGGATTGCATTTATATAGCGCTTTTCGAGAAACCTCAAAGCACTTTACAATACCACTATTCATTCACTCTCACATTCACACACTGGTGGAGGCAGCTACAGTTGTAGCCACAGCTGCCCTGGGGCAGACTGACAGAGGCGAGGCTACCATATCGCGCCATCGGCCCCTCTGGCCATCACCAGTAGGCGGTAGGTGAAGTGTCTTGCCCAAGGACACAACGACCGAGACTGTCCGAGCCGGGGCTCGAATCGGCAACCTTCCGATTATCAGACGAACTACCAACTCTTGAGCCACGATCGCTGTCAATAAGACACCCCCAAAGAATCTCCCCCTGCTGGCCAGTAGAAAGAATGCAGGTTTAAAGCACTACTGAACTGGCTTCACTTCACAAAGGCTAAATCTTTTCTTAATATATAGTGTATCGGTGTCAGAAGCAAGTTTAGGTTAAACATAACCCTAAATTATCTTTGAATCATGTGGCTTTGTGTTCGTGCAGCTTGTTCAACAAACGACAAACACGTTACCTTTCCTTGTGCGATGATGTAAAAGGTGCTGCCCTCCTCTCCCTCTCGGATGACGTACTCGCCTTTGTCATAGTATTCCTAAAGGGAAGGAAGGGTGTGAGATCGGGGGAGGACAACCGTCAGAACTGAGACGTTGCATTGATTTAATCACTGGAGCAGCCGGTCTGATTCCTGGTAGCCGGGCCCTGCGGGCTGAGAGCAGCTGTCAGTGACGCTCAGTCATTCAGAGCCTCTCAGCCTGCTGTTCAGCAGAGATTTTCAGGGCTCATGGGGAAAATGAAAATTAAGTCAATAGAAAAATATTAATTATGATGTTTTTAATGTCTGTTAATGGGGGCTTGAGTTAGGATGAATTTGTCAGCCAATTTGTGTTTGACACATGTTTTAAATGAACACTGAATGAACCTCAAATGAATGCTTGAAATGAGGTACAAATATTTTCCGCAGAGAGGGCTGAAATTAACTTTTCAAAATGCCACAGATTTAAAAATTGCACTGAGGTTTATGATTACACAGAGACCACAGAAATGTTTTCCAATTAAACTGGTTTAAAGTGATCATTTAGATAAAATATGACGTGTATATAATTATTATATTATATGATGTGAATAGATCTATATGTGGATGGAGCTTTAAGATAATAAACTGACTATACAATGCAGACAGTAAAAAAGGTCCAGCTGACACAAAGTCAATATTCCAATTAATTCCAATTAATTTCAAATACAAATCAGTCACTGACTAATCATTTGTTACATAACTGAATCTACAAAACAGGCCCTCTAAACTCGGTGGCCGACAGGTGGACACACACCTGCGCTCTCTGTGATCTAATACTGTGTTTCTACCACTTCGCCAGTTAATTAACAAGATTTGGAATTGGTGATGCAATATTGGCCCATGATGCATCGTGAGATGATCGATGGATAGTGAGTTCTATTGTGACACATTGTTGCTTGCTCTGTAGTGCAGATCGTGTCCCGCATCAGTGTGTTATCATAATACTACAAACATTACTCATGGGTGAAAAGACAATTAGTCAGCCAATCAGAAACATCATATAATAAAAGCTGTTATGTAGTTCAGTCATCATGACACGCTCCAGCGACTTAAAATCACGCTGGACTTGTTTCCGAGTTTAACTTTAGGAACGTCATAAAACCGAGCGACACTGAAATTCTCGAGTCAAACACTGAGGTACAGCACGTTCTGCCAGCTCTCTTCCAGAAACAGATTCCTCCGCTTCATCCTGTCAGTCGCTGTTTCTCTGAAACCAACATCTCAAGCATCCCAACCGCAGCATTAAAACCAGACCGCTGAATCAGCGAGCTGGCAGATCGCCTTCCATTTTAAAGCTTTTAGGTGAAGAAAGGGAAGCGTGACGAATGAAGGTGACCAGGATGAAATGTTGCCTGGGACAGAGGCCAAGTTCCTGCAGCTGAGACAACCGTCCGCGGCTATAATCCATTTGACTATAGAGGACCAGAAGTGAACAAACAAATCAAAGCAACCACGCGTAAACATTCCCGGGTGTTTACTGTCAAAACTCTTGACACAAGTGGCATTTTCCTTGAGCGTCCGAGACTGTTTACGCCCCGTTTACGCTTCAGGAGAGCCTAGTTTAACACCCGTCAGTGACAGCGGAGACAACATGCCAGGGCTTTGTTTATAAAGACTGTCTGGATCAAGATGTAGAGGTGCAGATGAGCGACGGCGTTTGACTTGTGTCTCAGGTTTGTTATACCAGACAACTAAGCTTGTCAAATTTAAACGCACGCCTCTTTACGAAAAGTCCTCTAACCTCCAACAATTAAATGCCCTTCTGTCCTACTTTACACTAACTTCTGGTTTGGTCAGTGGCAGACAGCCACTTGTGCTCAGCTGTGTTTGAGTTAAGTTCGAGTGCAGTCATTCTGTTTGTTTCCAGTCAGTCAATGAGGAACAGCAGACACTAAAAATGCATGTTTCTCCATGCTTGAAGTTGCAGATGCACTGTGACAGGGATCACTCTAGTCTTTAGCAGCCCCCACGTGGACAGGCTTCCCAGTGCAGCCCCCTGAACGCATCGTGCTGATTTCAAAGAACTGTTGAAACAGTGATGATATGCACACTCGTGCATGATTTCTAAAGTGTTCACGACAGTGACGGAAGGAGATTTTTTTGGTCTTTCCCACAGACTGACACTGTATTTGTGGGGCATGAAAGAAGGGGCACCCATGCCTTTTGAAATAAATTATTAAATAACACCATACTTAAGTTAAATAATAAATGAGGATTTTGCTGCCTCTCCACTATTCCAGACTGCAATCAGTGCTATAGATGGCGGCTTACCCCCTGCACTCCAAGCATAACCAAAATCATTTTATGTTTCCATGGTGAACATAATTAAATCATACATGATCTGCAAAATTCAACAACTTGACACTTGTTAAATTTATTCTTGTCGAGATGAAGTGATGCAATCTTCCAAGAGTGGTTAACTGTCTGGACCTGCGATATCACAAGATCACGCAAGATTTCAAACCACAGGAAAATCACTGGAGTTATAAGAGGCAGAAAAGCATACGCACATCACGTGTTTGTGGTTTAACCTGTCAAGGACAAAAACTTAGAAAATTCTGCATCAAGCCTTGTAATCATAGCTTTCTTATTTTATTTTTTTTTACTGTCTGGTGTGACAGCTCGGCAGTGGCGTTTCACCAGTGCTAACAGCAAGAATCCACCAACTGGCCATGGGACCATGGGTTCTCTCTGGGTACGCCACACTCCAAAGACATGCAGTTGGGTTAGGTTAATTGGTGAAAAAGTCTAAATTGCCCAGAGATGTGAATTGAGTGCAAATGTTGTCTGTCTCTGTGTGTTAGCCCTGCGATACACTGGCGACCCTGATAACAATAAGCGAAAGAGACTGGATGGATGGAGTGACGGATATACCACAGCTGTTATAAATCCATTAAAGTTTCATGTTAACACTCCAAAGAATAACTCTTTAAATGAACTTAAAACAATCATGGATTTCCACAATAATAAATGGCTTTCTATTAGCATTAAGTACTTTTGTTGGACTAATGTCATTTACATGGGTTGAATCAACTTACTTAAATTAACTTGGACTCAACTGCAGTAAATAAATTGATTCGTCATTGATTAATTAAGCTGATCCAACTCAGCTACATTAAGTTGAAATAACAGAATTGTGTAATGCTAAAATTAAAGCACTTTAATCACTTGGAAATCCTTTTCATGATTTTTTTCGAGTGCGTTTTCATCTGCTCTGCATCCTTGGTGAGCTGAGTGTCGGGCCACCTGCTGTGGGATCTGGTTAGTTTGTCTCTTCAGCTCACACTGGAGCTTAAATTTTAAGCATCTGAATCTGAGCTTGTTAGCCGAGCTGGGCTTCAGCATTCAGGCTCCGACTCCAGGCTGCAACTTTCAGGGTTGGCTTGTCAATCCATGTGATGACATGACAAGATGTTGCACGCCAGGCGCACAAGTGAATGAAAGGATACATTCTTTTCGTTGCTGTTTTATGTTTTTACTTTCAACAGACCCACTTTTTTTGGTCACTGAATCTTTCCAGTTCAAATTCCAACCAGCTGATCATACTGAAAATCATCAGAGAGACCTAAAAACAACTACTCCCTTCACACACTCACATGCAAAACACACCAAATTCCATTCCCCCACTGTTTGACAAGACGCTTCAATACTATCTGCCGGATTCTCACTGAACATCTGCACCGCTATTAGGTTACAGCTGCCCCCCTGAGAGGCAACAGAATCAGCTCCATTAGAAATGACTGAATAAGGAGATTCTCGTAGCAGGACGAGCGACGACCGCAAAGATCGTCCTTGAAGTTTCCATTGTGAAAAGAAGCTGAGAAAGCGCTGCAGAAATGCAATGCTTACGGAGAAAAAACGGACTATGCACGGGTCTCCTGCATGCTTCGGCTTACACAGTTACACACACTTCATGGTCTCACACCAAAAGCCTGTCACTCGCACATCTTTAAGAAATCACTCGTCCCCCATTTGAATAAACAGTTTCTGGGGCCTTAGTCAAATAATTATGGTAACAATATACAGCACCCAGCGATGACAGCAATAATATCGGCTCTGTTCATCAACAAGGTAATTTGTGAGGTCTTGCAACTGGCGGCAGAACGAATATGCTGACATGCAGTAATGGTATATGGCCAAATGGTAATGATATTTTGACAGCAGCTATCTGCAAAGCTGGGGCTCCCACGAGCTGCCAGAAGGTTGTGCAATACTGAGGCAATACAATGAAAAGTCAGGAGAAATAAAGATAATTTGACAGAATAACTTACCACCTCCAGGCAGTCCACTATTTTGCTTAGCTTGTCGTCTGGTAGATTAGCCAAAAGTGAAACACTGACGCAAAAGAAAAAGAAAAAACAGGCATTACATTGTTAAAACAAATCACTACATGTTATTATGCAGAACCTGGTTTCCTGTGTCACAGGACACCAGTTTCAGACAGTGCAACAAATCGATCATTTGTTTAATATCTCGTGGTATTGACTTAGATCCTGTGACCCAGTTTTGATGATAAAATACACTTGCGTAGCATTTTATCATGACCTGAAGCAAACCTTCCTCACTGACCCACAAACCGTCTTTGGTGTTGTCTTGACAACACTGGACCCCAAAGGCAAAGACAGAAAATGTCTGCACAAGGAGGCAAGACGGGTGGCGGTGGCACAAATCACAGGATGTTTCTTATAGTTTTGGCCCTCGGCGAGAGGTGTTTTACCTAATGTGGTCACGTCAGGTACACACCCCACCCTCCCACTGTTAAAGTCTTTATTTTGGGAGGGGCAACCAATCAGAAGAAAGCCAAGATAAGAAAGCTAAGCTTCCTAAAGAAAGATGAGAAGAAAGCAGAAACAGTTTGTTGTTGTTGTTGTTGATCTAAAGGGCTGCATCGAGCACCAGTATTACGTAAAAGGATTATTTTGAACTGTGAATCATGCACAGCTATTCTAGTAGACTCCAAGAATAAAAACACTGAGCTGGGAATGAGCAAAATAGGTCCCAGTTTGGACATAGTTTGGCACTAAAAATATTTGGTTAGGTGTGGAAAACGGTCCTGTTTGGGGTTGAAATAGACAGCTTTGTTCCTGCATGCTGGAAAAAAGTTGTGAAAAAGATGTAAAATGTGACACCACGGGGTGAAGAACCTATTCATGAGGAGTAAAGTGAAGCTGCTCTTGCTATTGCTCTGACCGCACCAACACCACCGGACATCTTGTATTCATATGTCTATTAAATGTCTCATTTGATCATTTTATTGGTGTCAGGAGTTTTTGTTGGACAGTCTTAGTGGACTTGAAGCTAACCTTCGGAGGAAGTTGCGATACTGTTCGTGTCGTGTCTCGGCCGTCCTCCTCATAATGTTCTGGAAAACTTCCCGATCCAAAACCCACGTCCTCACTTTGTTCACAGCTGTAGAAGCAACACAACATGCATCAGTACCACTACATGACAGCTGACTGACAGCTGGTTTAAAAGCAGCGTGTGCTGATAACAGCCATGCTGGAAAATTCACAGCACCTTGTCATTAGACACATGAAAATGCTTTGTTTTTCCAAATGGACAAAGGAGGTGAGAAAAACACTGTAATCTGTCCTTTATCTTGATGCTGAGTCACTTCAAATCAACAGAAACTCTGAGGCGGGCCTCTGTTGGTAAAAGGAGGAAGTAGCTGTGAAGGTTTGACATGAACCAGTAGCAAAGAAAGAGCTGCTCTTTATCTGCTTCATCTGTTATCACGGAAAACCCGCTGAGAGGCTTGTCAAACTGTCAGGGGTTTTCCAGTGCACCCTGAATATTGAGGTCATTTTGGCCCCCTTCCCCCAAGGACCAGCAGTCAATTTACTTGGTTAAATATACAAACTGAGACAAAGAGCACTCACATACTACATGGTATGCACTTTCCAAATGCCAAGAAGACAAAAACCAATCAGCACGAAAAGCTGCGGCTGTCATGTAAAGCCTCTGTCAACACAACCGCGCTGACGCGTGTTTGCTTCCCATCCAGGTTCTTCTGCTCAGCGTTTTAAGAAGCCTGAAACTCGGACGGAGGTCACTCCTGATTCTTTTGTTATTGACGTCATTCTGGAAGTTTCACAAATGCAACGTCAAAGCGATATGCATCGACATATCGATTATTTCTTTTTTGTTTCTTCTACTCATATAATGCTTTATTGTCTGCCTGTGCTCTCAGCAGAAGTCCAGGAATAAGGACAGGAACCCCTCATCGAGAAAAGGGACAGTTATTAGAATTTAAACCTCGCCTGTAAGATTCTGAGCTGAGCACAGTCATGTCACAGGCGTCACAGCAAAAATCTGGTTAAATTTGATGTGTGAGGCTAAATGTCTGGATCACAGCAGTTGTTTTAACAATTCAAACACACACACGTCTTTAATCTTTTAATACATGTGCCTGACGCTTTCTTTAAATGTGACGTCACTGAGATCACACAGCCATACAACGTCCACTCCACACACACAGACACGCTTCCCACAGGGTCGCGTCTCCCTGTTCAGCAATGACACGTCTGCGGCGTCTGGACAGTAACTATACAGTGGGGCAAAAAAGTATTTAGTCAGCCACTGATTGTGCAAGTTCCCCCACCTAAAATGATGACAGAGGTCAGTAATTTGCACCAGAGGTACACTTCAACTGTGAGAGACAGAATGTGAAAAAAAAAAAAAAATCCATGAATCCACATGGTAGGATTTGTAAAGAATTTATTCGTAAATCAGGGTGGAAAATAAGTATTTGGTCAATAACAAAAATACAACTCAATACTTTGTAACATAACCTTTGTTGGCAATAACAGAGGTCAAACGTTTACTATAGGTCTTTACCAGGTTTGCACACACAGTAGCTGGTATTTTGGCCCATTCCTCCATGCAGATCTTCTCGAGAGCAGTGATGTTTTGGGGCTGTCGCCGAGCAACATGGACTTTCAACTCCCGCCACAGATTTTCTATGGGGTTGAGGTCTGGAGACTGGCTAGGCCACTCCAGGACTTTCAAATGCTTCTTACGGAGCCACTCCTTTGTTGCCCGGGCGGTGTGTTTTGGATCATTGTCATGTTGGAAGACCCAGCCTCGTTTCATCTTCAAAGTTCTCACTGATGGAAGGAGGTTTTGGCTCAAAATCTCACAATACATGGCCCCATTCATTCTGTCCTTAACACGGATCAGTCGTCCTGTCCCCTTGGCAGAAAAACAGCCCCATAGCATGATGTTTCCACCCCCATGCTTCACAGTAGGTATGGTGTTCTTGGGATGCAACTCAGTATTCTTCTTCCTCCAAACACGACGAGTTGAGTTTATACCAAAACGTTCTACTATGGTTTCATCTGACCACATGACATTCTCCCAATCCTCTGCTGTATCATCCATGTGCTCTGTGGCAAACTTCAGACGGGCCTGGACATGCACTGGCTTCAGCAGCGCAACACGTCTGGCACTGCGGGATTTGATTCCCTGCCGTTGTAGTGTGTTACTGATGGTGACCTTTGTTACTTTGGTCCCAGCTCTCTGCAGGTCATTCACCAGGTCCCCCCGTGTGGTTCTGGGATCTTTGCTCACCGTTCTCATGATCATTTTGACCCCACGGGATGAGATCTTGCGTGGAGCCCCAGATCGAGGGAGATTATCAGTGGTCTTGTATGTCTTCCATTTTCTGATGATTGCTCCCACAGTTGATTTTTTCACACCAAGCTGCTTGCCTATTGTAGATTCACTCTTCCCAGTCTGGTGCAGGTCTACAATACTTTTCCTGGTGTCCTTCGAAAGCTCTTTGGTCTTGGCCATGGCGGAGTTTGGAGTCTGACTGTTTGAGGCTGTGGACAGGTGTCTTTTATACAGATGATGAGTTCAAACAGGTGCCATTCATACAGGTAACGAGTGGGGGACAGAAAAGCTTCTTACAGAAGACGTTACAGGTCTGTGAGAGCCAGAGATTTTCCTTGTTTGAGGTGACCAAATACTTATTTTCCACCCTAATTTACGAATAAATTCTTTACAAATCCTACCATGTGGATTCATGGATTTTTTTTTCACATTCTGTCTCTCACAGTTGAAGTGTACCTCTGGTGCAAATTACTGACCTCTGTCATCATTTTAAGTGGGTGAACTTGCACAATCGGTGGCTGACTAAATACTTTTTTGCCCCACTGTAGATGTTAGAGCAGTGTGGTGTTGCAGCGCTTAGCACTGCTGCCTCTCAGCAAGAAGGTTGTTGGTTCAATTCTACTCTTTAAAGAATTTAACGAGGAGTGTGGAGGATCAAACGTCCCTTTCACTTTCCTGCCAAATGTAAAGGGGCGTATTTTCCCTGATCTTTTTCACTTTTTATCCAAACCTCAGTGTTCTTCTTCATCTTTTTAACATCTGCTCAACAAGTTTTGGGGATATCAGTGGATTATTTCGGTCACCTAGGAATTAAAAATCCCAGAGCCATTTTTTTTTTCATTTATGCTCAGTGAGCAGCTTTCACCGGAAACAACAAGGTGCCATCTTGAAACACATTAATCAGATTTCATAATATATTCATGGCTGTCATGCCCAAGGCCTTCTTCAAAGACGAATAACTGCCAGAGACCATTGTTGTATTAAACTTAAACACAGAATAGAATTGACAGTCTTCAATGGGCTTTCGGATTTCCTACTTCTTTCCTGTCCCACTATCAGAGCTCTGCTAGTTCTGCTCCGTATGTGTAACCTGATGATAAACTTTTAAACTGGAACACTGCGACGCTGCATGTAAAGGTACAGTCTGGAAAAAGGAGGAAATGGGACACTGGGCATTAGGCTTGCGTTACATTTGGTGTTTGATTTTGTCTGCTGCGTGGGTCGCGGGTGATTCAAACCCTGGGGCACTCAGTGTGTTTCAACCTTAAAAAAAGCATCCTAAACACACTGAGCTCTGATGTAGTTTCACTCTCCACTGTACAAATTCAAAACAAGCAAAAAGAATTATGGATGCACAGCCACATTAGATCCAGCTGTGCAGAAAATACTTACTTACTTCTTAGATTTTTCTCCTGTTTGTTGACAAAGAATTTTATGAGAAGTTGTACATTAAAGGAAGAAAATAGAGCATAAAACATAAAACAGCAGCTTAAGTGCTCCTTGACATTAATCCTTGTCTTGTCTGTGGATCTCTGAAAGGATGAATAAAACACAGACATTCCCTGGTTTGATGTTTTTGTGGTGCTGGTGCAAAATCTTCAGGTGTTCAGCTGGCTTGAGATCACAAGATGTGTGAATCACTTTTCTGGTCACTGAACCATTCAGTAACCCCGAGTGCATCATCAGCTGCACGAAACCATCAGGGCAGAAGGCTTTCACTGGAAGGTAAAGGTGATCATCCAGAACCAGTTTGCATTGATTTTAGTGGGAAAAAGCTGTATGACTCTAAAACAGATTTGCCTTTACCTCGCACTGATGCGGTCCGCGTGCAGTTGTACAGAATGGCTAACTCCCCAAACGCAGTCCACACCATTATCGATGTGATCAGTTTGTTATGCTGAAACACATCCAGCTTCCCATCTGCAAATATGAAACAAGGACAATCAATAGGTTAAATTTTTAAACCCCAAATTTAGGACACAGACGATGAACATATCAGGAGCTAACTGAGTGACTTTTACATCTCACTTCATTCATTAAGGTCACGGTAATATCGTCTGGGTGAAGCTTCATTAGGTTTGTGTGCTTTTCAGGATTTCACCTGGCAGACGTGCCTCTTTAATATGCTGCTTCTCAGATTTATCAGGAAGAGAGAACATTTCCATTAAATTTCTAAATCTGCATATGAGACCAGAAACCCCACAAATGTCCCTTCTTTTTCATCTCCACTATAATAGAAATTGTAGCACAAATCATGATTAAAGAAGAGTTCTTTAGTCATTATAATTAGCAGCTGCTGATGTCTGCGTGAGTATTTAAAACCTCTGATGATGAATAATTATTCATCAGAGCTGTTTTGGTAACTCTTCACAGCACAAAACAAACGCTGTGTCGATTTAGCTCAGGTGCTGAAACGTCAGAGCTCAGCAGATCAACAAACCAGGACTCTGTAATCACTGAATTTTGATGCGGTTTCCTGCCCAGGGTGAGACATCACTTTAACACCAGACGGCAGAAGAAATACTTACGTTGTCTCTGACGAGCAAATGTCAGTTACTGGCAGAGGACAGACCATTGCTCTGAGGCCGCGTGGTCTTTTAAAAATACACTTAGTTGCCTGGTTACAACCAAATATAAACTGAATTTATTAATACATGAATACATCTAAATGAATAAGAAAGAAAAGATGAGGGGAGGGTGGGTAACTGTGAATGTATTAAAAATAAAGACGTAGTGGGTTATAGTGCATTTCACTCAATGTCCTTCCAAAATGAACTTTTTCTCTCTCCTGCCATGAATACATCACACCAGCTACATTAATTCAGTTCACTTCAGTTTTATTTATATAGCAACAAATCACAGCAGCAGTTTCCTCGAGGTGCGCTATATTGAAAGGTAGAGACCCTACAATAATACAGAGAAAACCCCACCGATTACATGACCTCCTCTGAGCAAGCACTTGGCAAACGTGGGAAGGAAGAACTCCCTTCTAACAGGAAGAATCCTCCAAGTGAACCTGGCTCAGGAAGGCGCAGCCATCTGATTATCAAATTCGTGGCTGACGCTGATGATTTAGAGAAAAATTTACCAGAAGCCGGTGCAGTTATTTATTTATTTATTTTCATTCCTCGCCTCTTTTAAAGGGAAACAGAGAAATTTTCATTAAATAAATGAAGTCTTTTCTTTGAGCAATTAAATTGATGAAAATTAGCCACATTTACTGACTGAAATATTTGCCGTTATGCCATCGACAGCCAACGAGATTTTGGTCTGTAGCGCTGAACTGATAAATCAGTGCATCCCTCCGTACTCTTCACTCAAGAAAGTACGAGAAATACAAACCCTAACCCCCCTAACCCTACCCCTATTGTTTCAACACACTCATCGGGTGGTGTTTTATAAAACCCAAGCCTTGTTACACTTTGGACATCTCACCAACCTCGACTACACCGAGGCCAAATTCATGACCTCTGAGTTTTGTAATCGCTGCCTGTTCCCAACGAGAAAACACATTTCTCTCCTTTATTAACACGAGTGAGAAAAAATGTAAGCAGAAGACTCCCAAGTGGGATCTGCTGTCTGCACTTGTGTTAAATGTTCCGCAAATCCATTTATTTCTGTGTTATTCTTTGGAGAAGTGAAAAAGCTTTTTACTGGTTTCCCTTCAGTTCCTAAGAGAAACCACATGTAATCAACACTAAGTGAATGCATTTCAGGTTAGAAAAACACTGACAAAGAGCAGCAAAATAACTGGGAAAAAAATTCCCAGAATCAGCCCCAACAAAAGCAAAACAAATGTCTGAAGAAATGGTGGCGCGTTACCCAAGAAGGATGCACAATGTCCCTCATGCAGGTGCCTTTCATTTCCCTGTCTGGAAGGGCATCCAGCACATGTATATGTGGCCACTGTGGCGCCTGCATGTGAATAAGAGCAGCTTAAAGTAGCTTCTAATTGGATGATCAAACTTTCTGCCCTTCATCGTTTGTGCATGTGTGAAATCTGTACATTAAAAGTCAAATTGTAACTTTCAAAAGTAGCCCTCCATATATCCATTTTCATGACATCTGAGGCTTTAACAAAAACAAAGCACAGATGGTGCAGCTGTGCCGCACAACACAGTTAATTGACATCGCTTTAAAAAGCCCTTTGCCTGGACTCCTGTTTCTCTCTCTCCTCCTCCGCTTGCATCACTGGTGGGAGGGACTAAGCTGTGAGGCGAGGAATCAAGGATTTAATCAAGTGAGAAACAACAAATGTCCTTTAATCCAAAAGCCTTATCAAAGCCAGGCCTTCTAGCAAGGGCACGTTCAAACCTGAAAATGATGCTCAACGTTTTGCTGTGAACATTTCTCCTCAAAAGGATGCGATAACGGGCAACAGGACAACCTCCAAAGTTATTTGCTACCTCACCACAGCGTCTTGTATATTCACCCTGTTGTGTTTGAAAAGCATGCATACAGAGAGTGGGCTTCTTTTGGTGCAAAACTTGAGTGACCTAACAGGTTAATAACAAACCACCAACAAAAAGAAAACGAGTCAAAAAACTTGAACGCAGCCCAGCTGGTGATGCAAACTGTTGCTTCCTCATAGCACATGGCTTCACATGTTGCTCTGGCTTCTCATTGGGCATTATGTGTCATATGACATCTTACACAAACGTCGGTGCCACAAGAATAAGCATGCAACAGTAAACTGAAGCAAGCGGTGGAAGGAAGTTTATTTTTCCTTTCAAACTTAAGAAGATGACAGGAAGCGAAAGTACCTGCCAGGACAAACAGATGGTTCCCAGGCTCTCCCTGCTTGATGACGTACTCTCCCTGCTGGTAAGTGTGCTCATACATGCACTCCACCATGTCTTTGATCTGCTGCAGCTCCAGCCTCTTCAGGTATTGGTTCTTGTTGAGGGCATCTGTCAGCAGCTTCTTTACACTGTCACAGACAGCAACAGGAGAAAAGTTAGAGAACCGAGCTTTACCGAGTGTTGCTGTTTGAAGATTAGAAAGCACAGTCTGTGTTCCCTGTAAGATATGAAAGAGTGAACATGACTGCAGGAGCAGTTACAGGCCCGCTGCTTTGTTTATCACTCGGAAACGTTTGCGTTTGTGTTTTTGTTCTTCTTTTAGGAGATGAGAGATTCAGGAGTGAAAGTAGTGGAACCAAACTATAGTCATCTTTCAGCTGCTTTTACTCCTGCACTTTATTTTGAATTAAGTAAATACTGCACGGGAGAAAAGCAAAGGCAGAAAGAAGAAACTTTTACTTATCAGTGGAGAGATGACTTTGAGTCTCTTCACTTCCTTTCTTGGTTTTCACGTTTTCCTTTCTCCCCTTTCCATCTGTGTCTGTTTCATCCCACAAATTATACTTTAAACACTGAAAACCATAAAAGTCAGCTCTTATATATTTAACCAATGTGATCTTTTGTTTTCATGGACAGTTATTTGGAGTCTGATATACATTTAAATGCTGTAAAAAGATTCTACGGTGAGAGTAGTTTTCCTCAGAGGGACCGCTCACCCCAGCATCAAAGGTAGATGTTGGTGTTTTCAGTGCGGTTCAGTGCTTTCTTATGCTGTAGAACCAACCACTCAGTTCTTTGGAAAATAATTCTGATTAACATCAAAAAGAAATGATTAGAATATTAGCAGAAATTCTGTTATTTTCTTTTTGCACTTTTACATTTTCATAACTCTTAACATAGTGACAAGCGCCTAAAACTGTTTCCCAGCCTTATATGAAATTTGTACACAAGTTAAATTCACTCACAGGTTGGAATTATTTCTTTAAAATCTGCGTTGCCATCATTCTTTATTATGAGCTTAATCTCTTCAAATTTTTCTAATTTTATAGTTTGATCTTTGTTTTTAAAATATGCCGTCCACATTTCTGACGGGTCACATGGTGCAAACCCACTCTTCATCAGACAGTTATGCAAAAAGTCCCCATATAAACAAACAAACCAGGGGGAAAAACAACATAAATGAAAAATAGAAAAGGTATAAGAATAAATAATAAATATTTATTTATTTTCGTTTTTTAGGCACATGATATTAATGAAAAACTCATATACATATTAGAGTGGCTGTTTTTCTATGAATTGGTGTCTGTGTCTGTTTTGACTGGACATCCTCTCCGTGCGTGTTATTATCTGAAGAGCAGATGTGCTTAAAACATTACAGCTTTCTTGATGCAATAAACTGAAATTAGACTCCTGCAGAGTGTGAGCTTTTGATTTGACTTATTTTCTCCTCAACATCTGCCCCATTTCTTTCTTTCTTTCTTTTTTGCATATGCTGCAAACATCACCTGAGAGAACGTGCTCATGTCTAGATTGGAAATCCCTGGATTGACTTGAGTTGAAAACCACCTTTGTGTGGCTCTTAGCCTGATTGATGATGTGAGGGTAAGTGCAGTCAGATAAGGAAAAGACTCGTGTAGTCATGCAAAAACCTTGTTGTGATCACTTTAACATAGGAATTATTTTCTTTCCGTCCTCATGCTTGTGCCAGCGGATTCCTGTTGTTGATCTACAGCCAACAACAGGAATCAGCTGGCACAAGCATGAACTTCCTGTCTGCGGTGATGGGTGCTTACGTCTGCACAGCGACATGTGTAGAAAGAAAATAGTTATTGATGAAACCGACCCAAAGATTGCAAACTAGCTCTGCCAGACCACTCGAGTCACCACTTGCTCATCACTCTCCAGTTCATATGTGTATCATGTTTGTAGAGAAGGTAAGATGCCAAACCTTGACTGCATCGTTCTGCGATAATAAATCATCTCAAGTGACATCTGACTAAACAAAGTTTGTGGATTTTTATTGTTATAATGTAACCAGGTCTTAATTTCTGCAAAGAGATGTCTCTGCAGCCTCTCCACACCCAAGTAACTTGGACAGATAACCAGCCATGGATGGGGTCACTTTAAGTGAGCTGCTTTACTTGCTCTGCTGAAGTTTCCTTCTCCCACCACTGATTACACTTTCACGGTGAGTTACTGATCCGTCAGGCAGGACTCCCACATCTACATTACTCACCACATTTTAAATATTTTGTCTCCTGTGAAATGATGAGTATTCGCAGCCCCGGGGCTCCCTCCTGAAAACAGATCGAGTAAAATTGGGGAAAACATAAAATCATCACGAGCTGTCAAAGTTCACCGATGTGCATTTGAACAGCTGCAGCGAGGGGATGTATACGGCGAAGACATCATCTCCTTTGGGGAGCTGTGAAAAGGTTAGGAGGCACGGTTGAATGCTAACTATAGATCACGAGAGCGAGTCGGACCTCGGAGAGGCGCACGGTGCGAGAGCTGGGTGGTCTGTTTATCCACCTTATCGTGTGTGATGAATTATCACTCTGGGCTTCATAAAAAGAAAGCAGCTGACATGCAGCCAACATCCCTTCCTCCCACCTAGCTGTGTCATTACCCTCCAACATGTTACCGTCATTCACACAAGTGTTGCGTATCAAAGCCTGCCTACATGAGGGTACCAGACGGCCTCATTTACATTCGTTTTGGTTATATAATCCATGCTGGGCTTATTAGCGACACATGTTTTAAACATGAGGATCGCATTGAGAGGGAGGGAGACTGCATGCTATTGTTTATTCACTGCAGAGCTCTGCGTTCGGCTTGTACGATCTGAGGAACACTCACGATGACAAAAATCTATTTTACTTTCATGCTGGAAATCTACCAACACTTCATGTGTTCATTAAAAGACCTTTTAAGTTGTTTTGCTTGTGCCTGAGCTACTTATGTGTGCAGTAAATGATGGCACATGAGGGGGGGTGAGTTGGGTCCCACGTTTTAGTTGTTGGTCTCAGTTGGGTTTGATCACAGGATCTCTGTACACTCTTCCAGACCGCCTAAACAAATGTAAAACACAACTCAATCGCTCGGAAATTGCTGCATTTGCTCTTATTTAAACCGCTTAAGAACAAAAGCGGCAGAATGCCAAATCGGAGGAGCCGAGGAAACACGGGTGGCATCTGTTACGTGGTCAGTAAAATTAAAGAGAAACAATCATATTGATGATGCATGAAGTATCTGGATCATTTGAAAACTTTCATTGACTGCTGTTGATCCAAATGAGATCAGCGCCACTGAAGATGACCATCATTAAGTTTAACCTGAAGCACAGACTTGGTGTCTAAGAATAAACGGCACTACAAAGATGATAAAGCTATTTTTAAGGGAAAGGTATTATTTGAAGATCAGGGTTGATAAAGCTGCTTCATCTGAAACATCTGCCTCTGTTTCTAATTTCCACAGAAATCTCAACAGACAGCATACTGATGGAAACAAAGTTTCATAGTTGTGGGAAATTGTCTCACATGGGCTTTTTGGAGCCTTTGATATTAGATTTTTGTGCTACATGTCTCAGGCTATTCACTCTCTTATCAAGTGTAAAATTGAATAAAATGGGCAGGAAGTCTTAAAGAGTTTGATAGAAATGCCCTCTGAGGTCCACATCAGTCATCTGCAGTGAGCTTAGCTAACAGTCTAAAAATAGAACATAGGTTATGGAAAGCTCAACTAGAGCACACTTATCACGTTTATCGTGCTTGTTTACAGTCCACTGCAGTCTGTACGCTCAGCCAATGAGCAGCTCTCATACATAAAAGTGTTATCGACCTTCAAGTGCATTTCTAAACCTAATGATTATAAAGGCACCGCTTCCTTCCTGAGGAAGGTGGTGTCCAAATGTTTATCTGGCTTCTTTATATTGCGTGTGTGTATCTGTGTATCCATATATAAACTAGCTCATTCATTTTTCATATGAACATATAAATAATGGACAACCAAAGCAATGTTAAAGGCAACTTTAAAAAATGCTTTTATCAAAGTTCAAAATGACCTTTAAACAGATTTATAAGAGAAAAGCTAAAAACTGTTGGGTGGCAGCCAGTCAGGATTAAAGCTGGCTGCACTGAAGAAGAGCTGCGCAGCTGTGCAGCAGGTTTGATGTAGAAGGTTTTTAGATTGGTGGCTTCATTTATAAAACATAATCATGATGAATTTTTGTGTGACTAAAGCAGAAAGTCATGTTTGTATAACTCCTAACTTTGAAGTGGGTGAAAATCTTTTCCACAGTGTGCGTCTGCTCTCCCTCCCACAGCAGTGATGATCGAGCTTCAGTTCATCTCGGTGTGGGTAACTTTTTTTTTTTTTTCATGACTGCTGGTCACTGGTTTGGATTTGCCAACCCGCCATTCAGTCCCCTCAACGTGTGCTGCATGGTCATGCCTAATGACTGTCTGCTGATATTCAGGTTTCAGACAAGTTTTTCTAACACAAAAATGTTTGGGGATTTGGGACACTGAGATTGCTGTCTCACTGCTCTCTGACAACCACTCGCAGCAGAGATGATCAGGCTCAGTTCAGCTTATTGTTGCCAAGTTAGCGTCTGAACCTAGACACTCGGAAACCTTTCACCCCCCTTCAGCATCTTTTTAAATTTTTAAAAATGTTCCTAGGGAAAAATAAATTGGGCTCTTTCACTGTTGGGATGAGCCACACCTCCCTCTGTGCTGTTCAGTGAGCAGCGGCATCCACAGTTTGTTCACTGTGATAGAGGCAGCGTCCTCTCTGACTGATCACAGCACTATCGATAAACTTATGCAGTCTGATTTTTACCAGACAACAAAATACGAGTCTCCGTTGAAGCTTTGACTAATCAGTGTGGATTACCAAAGAATCTCAAAAGCTGAAAACTGGTATTCAGGAGAGCAGTACATCACGGCCCACGGTTCCTCCTGACTAAGCCTTCTTGTTTTCTGGCATTTTATGAGTGGATTCTACAAGACGGGCACCATCAGTTTAGGTTGATTTGAGATTTATAGATGGCAGATGTGAGCCGCAGCTTCTTTTATGATTTGAATGCAAGTTCGGACATAAATCAAAGAAAGTTTTCGAAATTGGGCTCCTGCTGTGTGTAGCAAAATCACACAGAGGCTTTAAATCCAACATGCTGTACTTTGGCAGTTTAACCAAAGACTGCAGATAAAAAAATGGAGATACCTACTGTTACATCGTTAGTTTGTGAAGACCCTCAGCAACTGAGTGAGGAATACTGACACTGCAGGTTCACACAGGACTTCTTATCAACGCGTGACCTGCTTTAACAGCCTCTGTTCTACTAGTAAAACTTAAGTAAAGTAAAACCTAAAACTGGCAATTGAGACAATAAACGTAATGTTTTCTGTCTCCTATACATGGGGCCTTTTTTGGCAGTGAAGTTGCCCCCTACTGGTCGTTGGAGGTTATATCTCCAACAACAGTTGTAGTATGAAGATCAGCGATTGCACGACCAGCGCGTTTCAGCTTGCGGCCTTCATCGGGGTCATCGGGGTGATAAAGCTATAATGATTTTCTTTTTACTCTAAATGTTGTAGTTTTAACCTCTTCAGACTTTTTGTTCTTCTGCTCTGCCCCTACTGGCCATTACAAGGAATGCAAGTTTAGGTCACGTCAACAGTAGCTTTTCATTTCAGACCTGGAAGCTACAACAATACTAAAGGCCCTGCTTGTGCTGATTTCTCTGCCTGCTTCCAGCCACTAGAGGGCAGACAGGTCAACTATGACTGATTGGCCAAATTAATCTTCTTGTTTTGGGTGTCAACATTCAGTTGAGACATTTTTACAAATCATCATCTTACTCTTTGAGAGAAAGAGAAAAGGAAGATTTGCCTCACTGACTTACTTTTTTTTATTATGTCAAGCTAACATGCCCTTTAAATGTCCTCCTGCTTTTAGAGACTTGATCCCGTGAAACATTCTTAGTTCAGCTGACTGTACTAACTTGATATACCTCTTGTTGGGCTGGGACTTACTGTAATACAAAGTGAGAGCAAAGGTCAATAAAATAAGAAGACAAATTCAATTTGAAATGACAGGAAGGACGGAGCCCTGAGTTTACATCATTTTCATTTATGCCTGTTTGCACCTGCTGGTGTGAGATAGTCACTCAGTATTATTTCAGGTTGTGAACATGCTTCCTTGTTATTTATCTTGGACGGTAAGCATGGACTACATAGCAAAATATAAATGCACTTTTATATGTTCAACATCTCCAAAACCAACGTTAATGTGCTGCTGTAACGGCCTCAGCTCTTCTGGTTTCAGGATTTCTATCAGGTTTTATGCCCGTGACCACTAATGAGGCTAAATACTGGTGCTGGGTGCTAAATGCCTGTGGCTCATCCCAAAGGTGCTGGATTGGGTTGTGGTGAGGGTTCCTCCACACCAAACTGCTGAAAGCGTTTCCTTACGGGCCTGTCTCTGTTTCATCGTGTTGAAACAGAAGGAAAGGCATAAACAGTCTGGAGGAAGAATGATTTCTAAAAGTGTACTGTGCAGTGCGATACACAGCGGGACATTTTTTAATTCGACGCTCTGACTTTGACTCTATGGTGTGGGTCACTTCTTTTTGAGCCCGTGAAAAACAGAAAACCTCATGAAGACAGTTTTGTTTTGTTTTTTCTCAGCAGCAGCTGTGAAATCTTGGACTGAATCATGTTGTTTTTATAACAGACTTTTGTTGGACGTCATTAGCACTAAAATCTTTGCTTCTTTGCCCACCTTTCACTTGCCACCCACACCTCTTTACGTTGCTTGCATTTTTAAAATCTCACCCACTACACCAGGATGGACTGAGCCTGAATGTGTCATGAACCTTTAGCTGGCTTCTCTCGCCGGCATATTTTTTCCTCTCCCTTTTTTATGTTTTTAACCTTCCTGAAAACACGTCTCACCTTGCATCCTTTGGTACCCGAGCCTTCTCAAAGGAGAACTTTGGCAGACCGCTGGAGTCGTAGGTTCTTGATGTGGGTTCGGCAGATACCCCGGCTTTGGCGCCTTTCCTTCTGTTCAGGGTTTCCTTGATGCGAATGCTGAGGTTGGGGCTGCCCCTGCTGCTGGCTTTGACTGAAGGAGGCCTCGAAGCAAGACCCGCCGATGCTCCGCTCTTCATCACGTCCTGCAGTTTGTTGAGCTGGATGCACTTACTCTGCAGCTCCTCGCTCATCTCGGCCAGCACTCGTGTGTGTTTGGCCAGCTGCTCCTGGAGACCTTTGATCTGCTGCTCTTTGACACAAAGCTCCTCATCCTTCCTCTTGCCCTCTCGCTCCAGCTCCTCCACCCGGGCCCTCAGGAAATCCAGGGTCGAGTTTTTGAACCCACCGCCGTGATCTTTGTGCGCACAGCCGTCAGTGTGTTTGTAGCGCTTTGATTTCATTGAACCGTTCCCCATATTGCCACCTAGAGACAAAAGAGAGTCAAAGTTTGCTGTTATGATTTAAAAGCATCCTCCAACTGCACGATGAAATTTGGCACTAAAAGGGTCCGTCTGAGGACGCTAGAGGTGAGATTTCAAACAAAAGAGCTGACGCTGTGAGAGCAGAGAACACGAGAAAGACGGGAAGGGAGGAGAGAGAGATGGCAAATCAGTATTTAATGGTCAATGAGTGTGTCCTGTCCATTTATTATTCAGAAGGCAGGAAGTATTACATTACATGAAGAGTCACTCTGGTTGTGCTCAGACAGAAGCACGGTGAGAGGAAATGCTGTCCGGGGAGCTCATGACTGCAAAAATCAACAGAACGTCTCCAAAGAGTGAAGAGCTGACATGGGGCAGAAATGTTGGAGAACAATCCTGTTTTTGTTGTCGCCCCCTCACACATACAGTAGACTTCATTCATGACATTCCTGCTGGGACGGTGTCACATCAGTCTGCAGCACTCCTGCACTTTATTCTGAAAATCAAACATACTGCTGTCTTTGTAATCCTGTTTCGAAAACCTGCGAGTGGATGGAACCACCCCCGTTTATTCCTTTACTTTGGTGCTTCAACTCTTTCACACACTGACTAACAAGCAGCAGTGTGACAGTGCAGACTCAGAGCAGAGGCAGCACCTTGCTGTCTTTCACCGATTTGACACATTAAAGGTTGATTCTCGCCAGTTTAACTAATTAAACCTTCCAAGGGGAGCGCGCACCTGCAACTTGCAATGCCTAGTCATTCTCCTGCTGGGAGTGAAGCCTGATGTGCGCAGTCTCAGACAAACTGTCCGCACTCACCTGCTTAGTTTTCAGAGCCTTCAGAAGAGCCCGGAGGTTTTTAGGAGTTAAATGAAGGAACAACGTGTCCGTGGATCCGCACATCAGCAGAGAGGCGCTCCACCTGCTCGCATCCTCTCCTCCCTCCGTCTCTCTCTCTCTCTCTCTCTCTGGCTTTCATCACAGTCTGTGCGGCGCGTTCTCGCACGCGCGTGCGGCGACCGGGTGTGATTGCCAGGTCAGGTGTGAATGACGTCAACCGCGACGTTGTCGTTTCTACACCGAATATATTGATTACTTGATGTGCGTCGTTGACCCCGATCAATTAAAAAAAATTATATAATTATATATAATATTTTTCATTTATCAGAAAGCTTTAGTTAAAGTGATTAAATAAATTGATTCATTAAATTGTAAATTCCTTAAAATTACAGAAGGGCAATCAAAAAGAGTTTGGTGAAGAAGTGAAAACACTACATGCACTATGTGTAGCCCTGGGAGTCATCCAACCTTCATTTCAACACATTACATATGTGTACTTCGTTGTCACCATGAACCATGAAATGTTCCAAATTTATTTTGAAAAGATAACAGTAGATTGAACAAATGCCAAAAGATGCACCCTGATGGAAGCATCTGGAATTCAACAAGTAAAGGATGCCGAGGGTCCAAAAGGATGCTCAGTGCTCCTGAGAAGTGACTCATTTCATACAGACGCTGAACGTCTCTGAGAGAGGCGCCATTGTCATTTCCTCCAGTTTGCTCCCGGTTTTAAGATTAAGATTACAAACAAACAGAAAATGAAAGCATTGACTCAGTGAAGGAAATGGAACAGTTACATTACTGTCATGTCGACATTAAAACGCTGTACTTTTTCTAAAACATACATCCACATGTTTAGATGCCTGGTTTCAGGTAGAAGAAGCAGACGTACAGCCTGGTCAGCTCGGACTCTGCGCAGAGAACAGAAATCTGCACACAGTGAAACGTGTGGCTTGTTGTAGTGGAAAGAAACATGTCTGAGTTGTCATCAGCTTCCTCATTTAAGTATGAATCATGTTTTTGTGTTTTGTATCACAGAGCGTGCTTCCACAAATGGTAAATGGCCTGCATTTGTATAGCGCTTTACTCAGTCCCTAAGGACCGCTTTACAATCACTCGAATCAATACACTCAATACTTTTCCTGCTTCGCTATGATGGTTATGCTGCCTGATATTCGCCTCTTTAACTGATGTTACCAGATTAGATATTGGTTAGATAAATCATCTTATTGTGTTATGATTAAGTTCTGCTTTAGTCACGGGCGCCACCATGAGGGGGCATGGGGGGCACTGACCAAGCCCCAAAATTTGCTGCCCCCCTAGCAATACTGTCCTATGTTGGTAATAATTTTAATATACTTGTATGTGCTGTGCCACGCCAATATTTTTAGTGGCCCCCATATGCCACCCCTATGTAAAATTCTGGAGGCGCCCCTGGCTTTAGCACTTCACATATTTGTAAGCAATGTCTGCACTGGCTTTAAGTATTTTTGTCCACTTGTGGGCAGTGGTGCAAGAGGCAAAAACAGCACCTGATACAGTGATATACACCAGCTATATTATGATTTATGTTTCTGACCACCTGTGGTGGAGGTCTGATATATGGTCCACAGCAGCTACAAGGAAGGAAAATATTTGTCTCTCGGCTGCTCCACTTTCTCACAAGCTTTAGGGGAAAATATTGAAGAGAACAGATTTTGGAATTGTTACTGTTTTCAATGCTGTTATTACAATTTTCAATAGCACAGCCTTAAAGAAATACAACAAAAATCATTTGAATGGGTTAATCAGGTGATGAGTGTAAGTACAGGCTCATGTTCTTGTCTTGGTCTCTGTGCGGCCGTGTTGTCTGTCTAGCTTAAAGTCTAGACTTGAAGCTGCAGTCCTTCACACCAGCAAATGATTAATTGGTTTTCCTAGTGTGTTTGTGCATGAAGCAGCCTCGCCTGCAGCAGATTCCATTGACAGGCACAGAACAATAATGGCAGGTGGCCAAAGCTGATTCATCTGCAGCACTCGGGTCACAGCAAAATAAAAATCCAGGTCACTGACTCCCAACCTGAACCTGAGAGGAATCTCAGAGGCCGGCTGATGATCTGAGGACGTATTCTGAATGAGCAAACAGCTTCACAATAAAGGCGTTTAGCTAATATACACCTCCTCCCTGTGCTGCAGTAGGGCTTTAACAACATGCTTGAGGGCACTCTGGCAGGACTCATCCTCACTTTGTGTTATTATTGAATATTTTGGCAGTATTGGGACTCTGCTTTTAAACCCTGTGGCCTCACAGCAGGAATGTGTGGTGTTTGGGTCATCCTCACCAGCTGTAGTTATGAGTTTCCTGTTGTTGTTTACAGTGTTTCATAATCTCACAGGAGGTTAAAAGTACAAATACTAATACTATCTTTGTAATTACACAATGAAGAATGTAAAAAACACGTTACCAGGGTCAGCTCAAATGGGTTCACATGTGCACTGCTGATCTTAACTTTATATTTTTTAACAACCCCTTTTCCTAAAGAATCATTGATTTTCCTGGGGTGCAATTACAAATACGCATGTGTTCTTATTGCCTCGTTAAATAAAGATTGTAGGGGACATTGTGCCATCTAGTGGAGCAAATTTGCATCAAATGGAAGTACAGCTCGGCCTTGATTCAACTTCAGTTGATATCTCTTTCACAAAGTGCAAACTGGTTTTGGTCATAACATCATAATGGTTTTTAGAGTCTATTGAATATTAAAGTCACAGACTTGCAGAAAACACCATTTACTCAAACTGCAAGAATAAAATTAACTGTTAGGGTCATTACCTTACAATATAAATCCATATATGTTAAGGTACCGTATAAATAACATTGAATTAAACTGTCAATAAGTAACTGTTAGGTTAATATTCCTATATGAAAAGGTTCATACATTAATAAGACATAGTTCTCACTTCAGACTCCAGCAAAAATTATTATAGTTAATTATTAAAAGAGGTGATGTTCTCACTTTTGGTCTGGTAGCTACAAAAAGTGTTATTTGCTTATAAATGCGTAATAACACAATTTGATTCAATTTTATTTATACAGCGCCAAATCACAACAACAGTTCCCTCAAGGCACTTTATATTGTAAGGTAGACCCAACAATAATACATACAGAGAAAAACCCAACAATCATATGACCCCCTGTGAGCAGCACTTTGGCGACAGTGGGAAGGAAAAACTCCCTTTTAACAGGAAGAAACCTCCAGCGGAGTCGGGCTCAAGGAGGGGCGGGGCCATCTGCTGGGACTGTTTGGGCTGAGAGAAGGAAGACAGGATAAAGACATGCTGTGGAAGTTAGACAGAGATTAATAATCAGGTGTGTGTTAATGTTAACCACATGAAACCAACAACCAAACAAAAACATAAAGCTTAGTACATTTGAACGACAGCAAAGTGAGTATTTAAGTTTAACTTTATTGACATTATTACTGTTAATAACTGTTTATACAGCTTTATTATCTAATAACTCGTGTTCATTAATTACATGGGGCTAAATTTAAAATGTTCCTCTGTAGTATTACTCGTGTCACGTAAAACATAATAACATAAGTATAGTCTAAACGTAAAAGGCAATAATCCCATATTTTTAAACTCCATAGCAAAGTGTTGGATTATTTGGAGAAAAAAAATCTTCTTGTTACTCATTACATCCGGTCAAGACTGGAAATTTTCTCTTTAGCTTTCTTTTTCTTTTGTCATGTGTAGCACAACACAGTGTAATGTCATCATAGTGATAATAAGCGCTGTGGTTTAATAGTTTTTGATGCAGCATTGTGTGTTTTAGCTCTACTTTAATCACATCTAACGTGATGCTTTTAGGCACTAATAAAGAGGCGAGGCTGCCGGACACTGGCGCCACCGGGCCCTCTGACCACCACCAGTAGGCAACGGGTGAAGTGTCTTGCCCAAGGACACAACGACCGAGACTGTCCAAGCCGGGGCTCGAACCAGCAACCTTCCGACTACAAGGCAAACTTCCAACTCTTGAGCCACGATGCCATTTGAACTACACTTTAGGGCACTTTGTTCATTTTAAACATCATAGTGAATGGGTTGTAATATTGGTTCGTTTTTTGTTAATAGTAAAACGAGATGGGGGGGGATCTGTTTAATTTAAGCGCACAAAGTACCTTTCATTGTCAGTTGTACTTCCTTAATTTGGACACTAGATGGAGGCAAATATGCATTCCTATTTTCTGTCTCCTTGCAGAAATTCCAAAGTGAAGAGCAGAAATCACAAGCACATTAGCTTTTTTGTTTCTTAACTCAGTCCTTTGAATATTACTAGGTTATAATAATTTGTGCAATATTTGATTGATTTATAATTTTGTAAAGACGTTTCAAAGGAGAGCGATAATATGCGTCTTAAACATATGTGCGTTACATTACGCGTAGATTAGATGTGCAGGGGGAAAAACACGAGGTGCTGGTTTGAGTTTAATGTGAATGTTTACTGTCAGCTTCCCGGGAACAGTTGGTTTGACATTCTGCAAAAATAACGAAGAAGAAGCCAACAAGCATAAGTAGAAGGGATGTAGTCATCAGTTATACACCTGTTCATTCCCTAAGGTGACGAATCTGCTTCGAAACAAATTCATGTCGTGTCAGGCGAGAGATTCGACAGTTTTCCACCAAACTGGAGTTCAGTTTATCATTTACCACATTGCACCACATAACTGCTGGGCCTGAAGGCGAAACTCTCTTACTGACCGCTGGAAGACCATGAAATTCACCCGTTAGTAGAAGCTGAATCCCAAAGCGTCTGTCCACCATGACCCCCCAGAACTGATCTGAACTTCTGATAGTAACCCTATGTAGTAACCAGTTCTTAAAGTGCACTTGGAGATGCCACCAAAATTGATCATTTAAAAATAATAATAATAATATGAAGGTGGCACAAGAGCAGCACCATAACTCAAGGAACAGAACGATAAATATTTAAGCAGCGCTGCCTCCTGACTGCTGCCTCTTATGTGACTACCAGCGATACTAAAGTGAAAAAAAATCACAACTCTGAACATTAGCCTTCGTTTTATAGCACTCATTATTACCCCT